TTGAGTGCTGAGATTACAGATGTGTGCCACCACACCCAGCCCACCTTATCATCTTTTCTAGATGACATATATTCTCATGTTTGGAAGGACATGTGGTATTTGTCTTTCTGCATCAGGAATATTCTGTTTAACATGATGGTTTCCAGATTCATCATATTCTTGCAAATGATAGAATTTCACTCTTCTTTGAGGCTAGAAAACACTGCATTGTGTATGTCTTTGTTACTTTTCTTGTTGCTAAGACAAAATGCTTGACCCCCAGAGTCCAAGGAGGAAAGGTTTATTTAGCTCAGTTTGTAGAGGTTTCAGTTCACAGTTGGCTGGCTCCAAGGGAGGGTGGCCTGGCAAAGGAGAAACAGTTCATGGAGGGAAGAAGGCAGCAATGCAGCAAAGCAGCAGTAGTGATCACAGCAGCTCTCACAGTATCCCTTTTGCTGGCCCTTATATATTCTCCAGCACGCACACCTAGGAGGGCCTTCCCATTATCCACTCCCAGAACTATGCCAAACCATCAGATTAATTTAGTAATCTCGTATCCTTGATCTCAGTACCATACACTCTAGATCCAGCCACCTCTGAAAAGCCCCACCTATGATGGCATGAGACTTTGAGGGGACATCTAGACACAAGCTATAACGGTGTATATTCCACAACTGCTTTACCCATTCATCTGTTGATAGGCATCTAGGCTGGTTACATGTCCTGGGTACTGTGAATTGTGCTGCAATAGATATGGATATGCAGGTATCCTTATAGTACACTGACTTTAAATATACTAAGAAGTGTTATAGCTTGATCAAATTGTAGTTCTATATTTAGGGTTTTTTTTTTTCTATTTTTAATTGTTTTTGAAATCTCCATACTGATTTCCACAGTGGCTATACTAATTTACATTCCACAAACAGCATAAAAGCACCCTCCCCATCCTTGCCAACAATTCCAAAATTTTGTTTTTGTTTTTTGAGACAGGGTATCACTGTACAGTTCAGGTGGTCCCTGAACTCACTATGTAGCCCAGGCTGGCCTCGAGCTTGCAGCAATCCTCCTGCCTCAGCTTTCCAAGTGTTGGGATTACACGCATGTGCCACCACCATGCTCCATGCCAACAATTTTTTAAAAAATACCTGTTGAGTCATTTTGAATGGAGATGTTTGTTTTTTAGACAATGCCTCGCTGTGTAGTTGAGACGGACCCTGAACTCATACGCAGCCTAGGCTTCCCTTGCACTCAAAGCAATCCTCCTGCATCAGCTTCCCAAAGGCTGGGACTACAGGCATGCACCACCATGCTTACCCCTTAAATGGACTTTGATTTCCATTTCTCCAGCCCTTTTTTGTTGTTGTTTATTTTTTATTTTGAGACAGGGTCTCACTAAGTTGCCCAAGCTAAGCTCGAAACCTGTGATCTTCCTGACTCAGCCTCCCAGAGTGTGCAGATTACAGATGTGTGCCACCATACCCAGAACAAATGCTCTTCTTTTATTTCTATACCTGTCACTGTGCCAAAACTACAACAATGATAATTGTTGATTTTCACAGTTTTCTTTTAGTAAAGCATTATCAATTTATCTTGGGGAAACTACCTATTATCCACAGTTTCATCAGCAGTTCCCCTGTCATTTCTGGGAAATTCTGTAAAAGAAATCCACAGATCCTATAAAGCTTTAGATATTATTTTTCAAACTGCATGTTATGACTCAGTGGGTCATGAAATTAATTTTAGTGGTTCCTGATTAGCATTTTTTAAATGAGGTAAGTTGGAGAGACAATATCAATATGCATCACATGTAATAAGTATCTACACTTTTTTGCTTGGTGAACCTATCCAGTTGTCAATGCCATGTGTAACTCCCAAATTTGTTTCTCTATCCAAGGTTTTTTCCTAAACTCCAGACTTATTTAGACATCTCCACCTGGTCTCTACCAATGTATGAAGCTCAGATAAAAGCGCTTATTGCTGGGGATGTAGCTCAGTGGCACAAGCACCTGCCTGGTAAGCGCAAGGTCCTGAGTTTGATTCCTTGTACCAAAAAAAACAAAAAACAAACAAAAAACAAAACAAAACAAAAAAAACCACACAGAAATCACACTAAATTTTTAAAAAAAAAAGGACTTATCTTCCTGAAATGGTACCATCTGCGACCTTCCCAGGTGATGGCAATATCTTCCTTCCACCTTCAGTTTTTATAGCTTAAAACCCTACATAGTAATTGTTTTTTACTTCTCACATTTGCTAACACCCCACATCCCACCTGTCTGGAAATGCTATTAAATCTACCTCAGAGTCCAATTGCTTCTTTCATCCCCAGTAGTATCACCTGGCCCAAGTTACTGTCATCTCATCTCTGAGTTAACACAGTAATTCTGCAGGGCTCTTCACTTCCACTGCTATCTATCCTCAACACAAGTGAAAGTAATCCTTTAAAACAGAGGCCAGCAGACCTCTATAAAGGGTAGAGTAAAGCATTTAGGCTTTGTAAGCCAAGGAGCAAAATTAAGCCTATTACATAGCTATTTATATAAGGAAAACAAATTTCCAAAAAAACCTCTTGACCAAATTCAAAATGTAACAATAATGAAGTACAGTATTTTGTAATACAGGTATATTAATGAGAAAGAATGAAATTTTAAAGAAATGGGTATTATTTGCTTAATTAGGGTCCAAAGTCAGTGCTCTTTATTGTCAAATCAACTGCAACTGTTTACCTGTAAAAATCATTCTAAGCAGTAGGCCATACAAAGAACAAGGAGTGGGATGGGTTTACTCACAGGCTGTAGTTTGCTCACCTATGTTTTACAATATAATCAGATCATTTCACTATTCTCTCAAAATCCTATCATTTAGTTTTCTATTGTTGGTCAACAAATTATTATAAATTTAACAGTTTAAAACAACACCCATTTATAATTCTCAGTTCTATAGGTCACCAGTCCAAGTGGACTTGGCTTAGGGTCTCACAAAGCCCCAGTCAAAGTGGCTGCTTATATGGAGGATCTGGGAAAGACTCTGCTTTCAAGTTATTCGCAGAAGCTAGCTCCTTGTGATTACAGGTCTGAGGTCCCCATTTCCTTGCTGGCATGATCTGTGCCGATGCTCTCCTCTAGCCCCTGTGCACACCGCATGACCTCGCTGGCATTATTTCCTACTACTCTCCCTCTGGCTTACTCTGCTCATTCACGCTAGCTTTCTTACTGTTGCTTGAACCTGCCAGACACACTCCTACCTAGATCTCTATATAGAATGCTCTACTCTCATGTATCTATTTTGTTAACTCTAGTGTACAAACATTTGCTCAACTTTCACTTTTTCAGTGAGGCATAAGTGACTACACTATTAATACCACAGCCTGCATGCTTACTCCCAGGACTACGTAGTTTTCCTACCCTGTTCTTTTTTCTACTTCTTACCTCTAACATATTATATATTTATTTCTGTTTATTGTCTGTTTCTCCTTGCTAGAATTAATTAAGCTCCTCTAAGGTAAGAATCTTTGCCTATTTTTTGTTCATGGATGTACTCTAAGCATCTAGCATAGTGGCTGACACGAAATAAGTGATCAAAAATTCTCTGAATGGCTGGGGATGGTGGTGCATGCCTGTAATCCCAACACTTGGAAGGCTGAGGCAGGAGGATCACTGTGAGTTCAAGGCCAGCCTGACTACACATAATGCAACCCTGTCTCAAAAAAGAAAAGAAAAGAAAATTCCTGGGGTTAGACTGTAAGGGTACACTTATAGAACAGCAGACTTGTAGGCATATTATAGTAAAAGTTAGAAATCAATTCATAGCCTGTGACTGTGCTCATGCTGCCTGTCCCGTAGGTAGTCTCCTAAATTCAGTCAGTCTTGACTATCCACTTCTCTTTGATAATGCACTGGGCCAAGTTGACTGTGTCCAGCTTGTGGTTTTTGGTTTGTTTGTTTGTTTGTTTCTGGTACTGAATTGAACTCACGACCTCATGCTTGCCATGCAAGGTGCTGTGCCACTGTGCCGCTGAGCTAAATCTCCAGCCCCCTTCCCCCTTTTTTCAGATTGTGTTTTCCTTAGTTAGAAAAATATATTGTTTCCAACTTGCTTCAAGGACTTTGTGTCTGGGACAGATTGGCCCAGTCAAGGACCCATTTAACTCTACTTGCTCCATTCACACCCTCTCTCCTCCTTCCCAGAATGTTAAATGATTCCTTTTAAGTAAACCTGCCTGACAATACATGACATAATTCCTGTATTCCATGTAACCAATCATGTAATAATCTGCTATCAGCTTTGTACTTCCCACTCCCAAACCCTATTTAAACTGAACTCAAACCTGACTCTGGGCTGGTGATTTGAGCCTCTGGATTCCCCAGCCTGCTAGTGTAATAAAAGTTGCCTTCTAACTCCTCAGTGTAAAGAGTCTTTCATTTAGTTTGATATTGGTTTTTCGGCAAAAAGACTAGATGACTTCTATGATCCTTCCCAGATTTGAGCACTAAAAAATTTTTTTCTGGTACTGGGGATTGAATTCAGGACCTCTGTACTGAGGTACATCTCCAGACCTTTTTAATTTTGAGGCAGAGTCTTGATAAGTTGCTAAATTGCCCGGGCTGTGCTCAAACTTGTGATCCTCCTGCCTCTGTTTCTCAGAGTGCTAGGATTATGGGTCTGCTCCACTGTCCCTAGGTGAGCACTTATGCATTTCTATGGACTAGAAAATCTTCATTATATCCTTTAGGAAATGGCAAGGCTCGCAACTTAGTGACTGTAGCAAGGCACTGAATTATTGAAATATAATGTTGACACTGAAACAGCAAAATAGTCAACCCTACCTGTTCTATAATTGAAGTTTCTAAAAGTTAAAAAAAAACCAAAACCCTGTAAAAACAGCAAGAACTGCTAAATGCCCCAGAATGTAAAAATCTGCAGTTAACCTCTCCAACAAAAAGACATACTACATCAGAGCAAACGTCAAGGGAATGTTTTATAGATCAAAATATGTCTGGTAAAACCTTCCACTCACTTACCGAAGAAACGAAGAAGAGTGAAGAAAGATTTCGCTCAAAGTTTCTGCGGTAGAAATTGTGACCTGAGCCGACTTTGGGAGTAAAGACCACTTCCGAAGTAGGTAGGATTTCCATTCATCCACAGGCAGATCCATGCTACTTTCAGTCTAGGAAGTGCGTACGAAAAGAGGAATTCAGGTATCTACAGAAGTACAATTCCAGAGAATCAAGTGTTCATCAAATCAATCATATAGTAACAAAATCAATTCCTGCTTTTTATAGTTGTTCATAGAGTGAAGAAGGATCTATTTTGTTACCGCAATTCATTCAATATCCTTTCATTCAGAAATACTTAAAAAACCCTACTTTGTTCTAGGAACTAGTTAGGTGGTGGCTATACAAAGATGAAACTGATTACTGTACATAGCTCCCATAGGTCCTCCTAGACCTCCATCTACTCTAGCTGCTCAAGTCATTCTAGATTTTTCTTCGTCATTCACCCCAGCAATTAAGTTAAATATTTCTATCTCTTACATACTTCGGTTTCCTGCTTCAGTACCTAACTCTTCCAGTTCAAGTCCTCCCCATCTCTTGTAGGCGATTCTTTCCAGGGTTATAACTCGTCTCCAGGTCCTCTCCTTCCAACCCATCCTCCACGTTGTGACAGATCTGTCTTCTGCCTTAAACTCATCCCTGCTCCTCCTAGCATATAGGAGTGCAGTACAAGCTCAACTTCATTCGCTCACTTTTTCTTTTTCCTGTGCATCCCACAATAGGAAGGTATACCCATTGCTATCCCCCGCTTGCGAGATTTCACCTCTTCACTGTTTCTGCACAGACCATTTGTCCCTCACTTGGAGTCCACCTGGCAAATTCCCGCGCATCTTTGACTCAGTGATTTTCCATCTGTGATTCCATCACACGTGGGGCCCCCATCGCATCTACCTTGAGCTTGCGCTCCTCACGTGGAGACTTTCCGAAAGGGACTGGCCCTTATTTACCCACAGAGGATGACGCTGGGTCAAACTCCAGGTCTGGCACAGACGCGAGGCCTGCACCGGGTTGCTAAGGGAACCGGGCCACTGCTTTGACTATATTTAGCAGCAGCATTATCAGGAAACACCTCCGACTGTCCTCCGAGCTACCGTTCTGTCCGGATATGTTTTCCTCAGCGCGCAAGGAACGCTCCCGGAACTGGCCGCCCGCAGTCTACGCCTCAACTGCTCCGCACTTGGCGCGCAGTTCCACTCTACGCCCCGCCCCAGGCCCCCGCCATCCCGCCACTAGGCCTTGAACCCCGACTCGAGCGAGTCACGTGAGTCGCTCAACGCGCCTTGGCCAATAAGGTGGCAGCTCGGCACTTAGGCCCGCCCCCTCGCCTCTCGCACGTAGGGGGCGTGAGAGGCGCGCACAACTCCTCCGGCCAATCGCGGTGCAGCCCGCTACCCCCCCCACCCCCACCCCGCCACCCGCCCTTTAGTGAAGCTGGGTCTGGCGTGCAGTGCGAGCGCGGGAGGCAGAGGTGCGCGGCCATGGCCTGCCAGCTGAGCGAGGGGGCCATTGCGGTAAGAAGACTCTTGGGAGCGGCCCGGGTGGCGGTGCCCCGGGGCCGGGCCGATTGGAGAGTGTGGGGGGTTGTTGGGGGGTTGTAGGGGAGCAGCCAGGGTGTTCGCCTATCATCACCCCCTTTTGAAGGATTCTTCCCTTGTCTTTTACACCTATTCACGTTTCTCCTACTTAAGAAAACAGAGCAAAATAAACGTCCCTCTTTCCCTCCCGCGGCCACTCTGTCTCCTTCCTTATCCCCGTCCGCAGACAAACTTTTTCTCGTTGTCTGTGTTCAGCTGTTTCATTTCCTTACCTGCATTTAGCGCTGTAGTCCTCTGTAATCAGAGATTCTCCTGATCGCTAGGGAAAGAACTTCGGCCGAAGTTAACCAGTGGCCTTCAAGTCGCTGAACCCGACGGACACTTCAGTTCTTAGCTTACCGAAATGCTCAGCAGTGTTTGGGCCTGTTGATCATTGCTTCCTTTGCTAACAGTTTTTAAGTTCTGTGGCTCAGGTCGGCTGGCTTTCCCCCTTTCTTATTTGCAGGCTCCTCTGTGTGAAGTTTTGTTCCTTCAAGGCTCTCTCTAGGCCCTCTGTCCCCAAAGGCAGTTTTCACTGTAGATGTCGGTTCACTAATTTCTTTGTGCTGAGCCGCAGCTTCTATCTATAGTGTATCTTCAACGAATTCCAAAGCAAATCCGTTATGTCTAGACCACTTGATGTCCTTAACTCAACGAATGGGACGAGTATCTATTAAGTTACCATAGCCAGAAATTAAGGAATCATTCTTCGTACATTCTCCATCACTCTGGATGTCTGCTTCCTGACCAAGTGTAATATATTTATCTCCATATTGATCTTTTAAGTTCATTTCTTCCTCTGCACATTGGCACCGATTTTTTTTAATTAATTAAGTTTATGGGTACATTTTAGGTATACAGAATGATCACAATCATCATAGGGAATTTGTACGTGTACATGATATATCTTGATTCTTTTTTTCCCCCTTCCCTTACCCTCCCTTCAACCCCTTTTCCCCTCCTTATTTACAAAAGCTTTGTTTCCATTTTTCCTTTCCTTTTCCCTTCCTTTCTGCCTTTCCCCTCCCTAGTTCCTCTTCTCACTTGAACATTTTCTTCCTATTTCAGATAACTAACTATTATACATTTTGGTCTTTGTTTATACTTTCGGTTTTTCACAGCAGAGAAACTATGCGGTATTTACAGTGTGTCTGATTTATTTCACATAAGAATATGCTCTTAAGGTGCATCCATTTACTTAAAAATGTCTCAAGTTTATCTTTCATTATGGCTGAGTGGTACTCCATTGTATGAAAACCCCACATCTTTATCAGTTGATGGGCATTTGGGCTGTTTCCAAGATTTAGCGATTACAAACTGTGCCACATTTCTTGCCCGGACTAGTCACTCAGCATACTCTCCTCCAGTCATTCCCATCACAGCATATTTCCACTTGATCTCACCTTTTTAGCTTTTTTTAAATTTTAAATTTATAGTATATATTCTTGCTTTCCACCAGGCTCTTGATCATTCTCTTTTCTTCTGCCCACTGCCTGGACTGTGCTTCATTCCTCTCTCCCTCCCTCCCTGGATAATGTCTGTAGTACCTGTAGTAGTGGTGGCAAGTTTTAGGTGGCCAGTAAAATGCTAGTTGCATTGAATGAATAAGGCAGTGGAAAGAAAAGGACAGAGATGAGTAGGAAAGAAAGGCAACTTGGGAGAAAATCAGAAGAAGAAGGATTGTCAGAGTCAAGTGAATATTTGAAAAAATTAAGAATGTATAAATGCTGGAGACTAAAAAGTGATTGCAAATTGTAGTCCTTGATGGCTTTATAGCTGTTGTCTTGCACCTGTAAGACAAATTCAGAATGGTTCATTATTCTTTTTTACGGTACTGAGAATTGAACCTAGGGCGGGCCTTCACACTCAGCAACATTCCCAGCCCTTTTTTATTTTTTATTTTGAGACAGAGTCTCCCTAAGTTGGTAAATTGCCCAGCTGGGGTCAAACGTGTGATCCTCCTGTCTTAACCTTCCAGAACACTGGGATTGTAAACATGCCCCACCATCCCCAGCTGGTTTTCCATTTTTTTTTTAATGTTTTTTAATTTTAGTAGTGTATATATATATATAAATACAATACATAATAATTGCATTTATCTTGATCATTTGTACTATTCACTCTTATAAAGAATGTTCATTGTTCTAGTTAAATAATTTGGTAAAGTTTTCTTTATAGTCAGTTTTAGAAACTTTTTTTTTGAGACAGAATCTCACTTTGTAATTCATGCTGGCCTTGAACTCACTATGTAGCACAGACTAGTCTCAAACTTTCAGCGATCCTCCTGCCTCAGTCTTCTGAATGGTGGGATTATAGGTGTGGGTAGAAACCTATTTCTAGGGGTTATCAGCTGAAGCAAGTATTATTTTTGTTCAAAAGATGAAGGCCCCAAAGAGTAAGCAAAGAGCACACAAATGGAGTTGGTTTGAGTAAAAGCTATCACTATAGGAAATTATATGTAGGGCTACTACAATAAATGGAATAAATAGCATTTATACATTTATTTGTACATTATTTTTGCAGTGCTGGGGTCAAACCCAGGGCCTTGCGTATAAAGTATATATGAGGCAAATGCTGTACCACTGAGCTACAAGTGTTGATCATAAAATACTGTATGTGGTAGCCAGGCGTGGTTGTGCAGATCTGTAACCCCAATACCAAGAGGCTGAGGCAGGAGGATTACTTCAAATTCAAGGCCAGCCTAGGCTACATAGTGAGTTCAAAGGCAGCCTGTACTATAATATATAATGAGACACTGTCAGAAAAAAATGAAAGAAATGCAGTGTTTATTTTGTTTTTGTTTACAATTTTAAATTTTTATTAGTGTATATTTGCAATACACACTAACTACATTCGTGCTGGTGAGTTGGTACATAACATGGTCTGTGTTTAAATTTAAAAATTTATTACAGTAAATGACACACTGCAAGGTGTGATTAAAAAATACAGTGAATGATACTGCCTAGTGCCATCTAACAGACTTGGTAGGCTAGTGAGGACATATGGTGTGTCCTCACTTACCATAGTCACTGCATCTAGCACCATGAGAGTTCTGGCTCTTCCCCAAGTCACAATGACTGAAAGGTAAATGCTTTGAATAGATTCAGGACATTGAGACAGCTACATCAGTTCAACTAAAGACATTCATGAAAGGGAACTTCCAGAACTCCTACAGAAGGTAGCAGGAATGATGGGATGAGTATGTTTGAAGTGAGGGGGAATATTTTGAGGGGTATTAATTTTACTGTAATAAATTTTAAAAATTTAAACACTTGCATTTTAAAAAAATTATATCTTGTATACCATTTATGTCTTAAGTAATTGAGTTATAGAAAAGGGAAAGAAACCAAAGTTTTTTAACTTTTTTAGTTTCTATTTTACTTTTGTAGTCCTGGGATTAAACTTAAGGCCTTTGCACTATATCCAAAACCCTTTTTTGAAACGGTTTAGCTGCTGAATTGCCCAGGCTGGTCTTCAACTAAGATCATCCTGCTTCAGTCTCCAGAGTGCTGGCATTACAGGCAAACACCACCACACCTAGCTCAACCTGGGATTTTTGCACTAAGCCACAGCCCTGCCCTTTTTTATTTTTTATTTTGTTTTTATTTTGAGACAGGGTGCCCAGGTGGGCTCAAACTCATGATCTGCAAGCCTTGGCCTCCCAAAGTCCTGGGATTACACTACACCTTGAGGTTTTTTTTGTTTGTTTGTTTTCCTTTTCCAATGTAGTGGGTACTTTAGTCAGTAATTAAGTAAACCTGTAAAGTCTATGTTATTTGTACCCCTAATTTACAGTTGTAGATATTAAAGTGCAGAGAGCTTAAATACAGCTGTCATTTGGAAAATATAAAGCAATTTTAAGTGTATCATACTATATGTCCCAGAAAAAAACCTTACAATCAATATTCGTGCTAACATTTTATTTTACTTTATTTTTTGAGACAGGGTCTTGCTGTATAGTTCAGACCTGCCTTGAACTCACTGTGTAGCTTAGGCTGGCCTTGAACTTGCTGTGATCCTTCTGCCTCAGCCTCCTAAGTGCTGGATTTACAGGCATGTGCTACCATGCTGGGCTCATGAAAACATTTTAAATTAAAAAGTATGAAGTATATGCATGGGGTTTGAAAAACAAATGGAACAGAAGGATGTTTAATGAAATTTCTGATTATTTATCCCACCTTGCCCATTTCTGTTGTCAGAAATAAGTTTTTAAAAAAACCTTCATCGAAGTTTCATTTATAGATGTTAAATGTACTGTTTAAGTGTACAGTGGGATGAGTTTTGATAAATGTATGCTTCCCTGTAATCATACTACCCCAATTGAGATACAGAGCGTCTTCATCAGCCCACATAATTTTCTCTTCATTCTTCTTTCTCTATGCCCTACCTTAACCCAAGGCAACCACTGTTCTGGTTGTTCTGTCATTATAGATCAGTTTTAAAACGTCATAGAAAATGAATCATGAGCTTTTTCTTTTTCTTTTTTTTTTTTGAGGAGGATCTTTGCTTTGTGGACCAGGTTGTCTTCAAACTCCTGGGCTCAAGTGATACTCCTGCATCAGCCTCACAAGTAGCTGGGACTACATGTGCATAGTACCACCATATTCAGCTCTGATTCCTTTCAGGAAGACATTTTTCTTTTTGAGATCTATCCATGTTATTTCAGGAGTTAACACCTTTTTATTACTGAGTAGTATTTCATGGTGTGTTATAATACAATTTGTTTTATTTATTTTTTGTTTTGTTTTGGTAGTATCGGAAATTGAACTCATGACCTGGTGCTTGCCAGGCAGGTGCTATGCTGCTGAGCTATATCCCTGGCCCCATAATACAATTTGTTCTTGTTAGACATTTGGGCTATTTTCAGTTTTGGTAAATGAAAAGCTATAAACATTTATATGCAGAGCTTTACAGTTATAAATATCTAAGTATATTAT